TCCGACCACGCTGAAACACCTTGTAAACGATAAGATTGCGAACAGCTATTTCTTTAATCCCTCCGTCGAAAAATGTCGAGTAAATGTACACTTGGATATTTAAAAGGAAAGATTGCAAAATGCTTCCGTGGTTTCGACAGAGCTTTACTTTGTACGCTTACAACTAAACCATTAAGTCAAGCCCTTACGATGCGCGTGCATTGCTCACGATTATTTTTCAGTTATAAGAAGTAGATTTTATGGTTACTCAAGAAATTCAACACTCCAAATTCTCATTTTCTTAATCGCTCATAAAGGATGACCATCATTTTTTTAATTCAATTTTTACTTACAGCGCTCGCCCACTTCCTTTGCACTCTTGATAGTAGATTACAGCCTGTCAGTTTTATTGAGAAGGAGATTAGGTATCCAATGCATCTAATGATTGTTATCGACAAATTTGTACTTCAAACATAGACTAGTTTGTAAGCATAAGCCAGCCATTTCACAATGCGATGTTAGCATAAGCTAAAAATAATGGTTTTGGGGATTGCAATGGATGAAGAATAGAAAAGGACGGTGTTTATTTATTTATTTGTCTTGAATTAGCTAGTGCCTTTTCGTATGATTATTGCTATGCTTATGTCGGTGCATGCTTAACTATTTTTATTTGACTTTTTGTTTGTTCGGCTTCTTATTCTGTTTATATCGTAGTTTGCGCTCTAACGCACATATATTTTGTCTTATAATCCGATTTCTTRAAACGGTGTGGCTCGTTTGTTTTTGCCCTGATGATAAGTGATTGACAAGTGGTACCAAATCTTGGCGTATATTTTAAGCTGTGTTTATGATTTTGTGGACATTTCAATGCAAAACCGATGTTTTTAGTCCTATCAAGAAAAAAAAATACACAAAACCACCGAAAAATGATAATAAAAATTAAGGATTCCGGAAAAATATCGAAAATTTGTGATTACTATAGATTGTAATAAATAGGCAACGCGTAATGTGTGTTTTTTTTCTTTTTTCTTTCTTTTTTTTGGTGACGTCTTTTTAGTTATTCATCCGCGGTATTAAATGAGTGCTTACCCGTTTATAAGAACACATATTTAAAAAACCTGTTAACCTAAGAGCATCAATTGAGGCACCCTTGATATGAGGACCTATTAAGCTTTTCAGACAGGTCCTTGGTTTATAAAAATAACATAACTTTATTC